GAAATTCCGGAGACAGCTGACAGCAGGCGACTCACAATAGATAACACAGACGCAGCGGACGGCAGGCAACACACAATGGGTATCGCGTGTGTTGCCGCTGTTGGGGCAGGTTATTGTTCGTGATCTTTGAGATTTCCTCCTCATTTTAGACGCAGCGGACGTACGGCACGCAGCATACAATGGGTAATGCATGTGTTGCCGCTGTTGGAGCGGATTATGGTCTGTGATCTTTCAGATTTCCTCCTCATTCTAGACGCAGCGGACGTACGGCACGCAGCATACAATGGGCAACGCGTGTATTGCCCCTGTTGGAGTAGGTTATTGTTCGTGATCTTCCAGATTTCCTCCTCATTTTAGACGCAGCGGACGTACGGCACGTAGCATACAATGGGTAACGCGTGTATTGCCGCTGTTCGAGCAGGTTATTGTTCGTGATCTTCCAGATTTCCTCCTCATTTTAGACGCAGCGGACGCACGGCACGCAGCACACAGTGGGTAACGCATATGTTGCCGCAGTTGAGGCAGGCCTTTGCTCATGATCTTCCAAACCTTTTCCTTACTTTAGCTGGGACAATGTCGCGATAAAAGCAAGAATTCGAATGGGCTGCTAATGTCGCTTAAATGCTTTAAATTTGTGTTTTGTCGTCTGCTATCCAGAATAGATATTTCGCCCGCGCGGACTGCAGACACACAAGGATTCATATCTCCCAAAGCGCTTATAAAATAGTGTCATAAGCGATCTTTGACAACCGTAAGGGTCTGTTTTGTTTCGTTACGGAGCTTTTATGCAAGATCGGACGGATGAGAGCTTCTGGGAGAAATAAGCAATCAAGCTCCGGTTTCCAGTCGCAGCATAGCTGTCCAGACAATCTAACCAACCGACTGACATCTAGCTAGAGTCACTAAGGTCACACGGCTAATCTCGCATGGATCCGGCCGGTAAATACATTAATGGGCTTCGGGCGAGGTAATCTAACATCCATAACAAACAGGTATCAGCCCGTAATAATCCGTGACAGTGGTAGTATGATGTATACGGAAGTAAATGCTGACTTCGCTGAAGGATGAGGTAACATGATATTCTGTGGTTCTTACTTGACCAACAAATTGGGTGAATTGAGCGCGTGGAGTTCGTCAGATGTCTCAGATAGGCTCATGCAAAGCAGCCGTAACGTATGCATCCTCTCTCACGTGATGTAATTCGCTTACAGCTGCGTGTGATAGCACACCTAGCAGAATGTTCGTTTCTTGCTCCGCCCCTGCGTTGGATCCAAAACTACAAGTGCTCTGCGCGCCTGTATTTTAGCAAAATCACGTGGCGTTGATTAGGCATCTGCTAATAATACTGAGAGGCATGAGCTAAGAGCTTTGCTGAATCCTCTACAGACGATTACGGTAATATTCTCAAAGATCACTTGAACCATTAGTAATTGTTTGAGTGGAACTCTACGAAACCTGTCGTTAAGCTCTGACAATTCTCCAGTACGGCAAGCCAGAGCGCTAGTTTTACGTTTCAACCAATGAATACGCCGTGATGCAGGAACCTCGGGCCGCGTGGTGGTGGCTGAAGAGCATCTTTGCTGCCACGCCTGCACCGGAGAAGCATGCGCTGAGCCCATTAACCGCTCGAAGGCACCTCCGCATTCCGTACTCCACTATTCACGGCACCTGAGGGTCGCCCGGACTGGCACGGCAGCCGACGGCGTCTGACGCTCGCCGCTATGGGCGGCTGCCATGCGGCGGCTACTGCGCACGTATGCACCTGCAGATTTACGCTCCAGGTGCGCAGATGGCCAGAGCGTGCGCCGGAATGGCAGCCGGGGATTGGGGGGCGGGGAGTTGATGCTGCTCAATGGCTTTACGCACGCGAACCTTGAGTGTCTGGCTCGGAGATAGGAGTGGGTGTTGGGTGGGCTGACTTTTGACCGCATTCGCCGTCCCGTCCATCCATCACTTGACCCCGAATGTGGCGTAAATTACGCCAATGACGACATTAGGGCCAAGTGGCCACGCCGGGCCCATCTTAACGACCGACCGCCAGTCCCCGCTCGCGCGGCTCCTCCCGGTTGCCCCGTCCGCGACCCGCCTGTCTGCACCGGTCTGGAGACGGGCGTCGGCGACGCGTGCTCGGCCGGGCGTCTGGGAGGTGAGCGGGCCGCGCCTCGGCTGGCCGGCGTGCAGGGCCGTCACGGCTGGCTGCGCGCCCGCCGCTCCGCCCGGATGGGACGTTGACCCGCTCCCGTCCGCCCCGCCCGCCGCCGGCCGGCTGGCCGCGCTGGAGGGCTGGTGACGACGGTGGTGGCCGGGCGGCGCCGCCGCTGCTGCTGGCGCTGACGGATGCAGGGGGTCAATGCCCCTCCCCTCCTCTGACACCACCTGGGCGGCCCATGGCCCGAAAACGGAGAAAAGTAAAACTGGGAGGTCTCTAGGCCTGTCTTCGGACACAATGCGAGGGATTGCAAGTCATTTGCCCCAGACTCCGTGTGCGCCCCACGCTCAGACCGTTCGTGGGGTGGGGCGGAAGCTGGAGCCGGGCTGACCCCAGGGGCAGAGGGGGGGGGGGGAGCGCTGCGACGTCAGAGGTGCACTCGAGGTGGCGATACACGGGTCTGAGAATCCCCTTAACATATGTGTGGACTCAGGCATGGGGCCAAGCACCAAATAAGGACGATCGAAGATCGACTAACTTGGTGATGTTAGCCGCAACACACACAAACGTAGCATTATGACACCCGAAGAAAAGACAAGATATGCGCTATTTAGGGTCTGCGGCTGCTGCTACTGCCAAGAATGGCTGTCACTTGAACCGCCGGTGGAGGCCTCTTCGTCGGGCCTGCCAACGACAGCCACGCGCGCGCCCCCGTTCGTGGATACTGAGTCCGCTTAGTCCGATAGGCACAGTGAACCAGGCTGACTCGGCCAGGGTCTCAAGACTGAGAAAGCGGGGGTAGAATAGGTTCTTGGATTGGTGTCTTTAGAGCCTTGCATGCTACAGTCAGCAACGGATACTGACGACCGTTTTCACCCGGCTCGGTGAGAAACGGGTGGGCGCGGTGAGACACGGTCGTGGTGTTTTGGCTTTCCGGTGCCGGCAGTCGGCACTGAATCGGCGGTGATGGCAGCACCGGAGACACCGCGCCGCTGCCGCCACTAAACTAAATGGTGTTAAGTGGTAAATGGTACCGGAGGTGCCGCCCCTGTACCGCCAGTTTACTAAATCGTGTAAATGGCGGTACCCGAGCGGTTCGTGAACGGACATAAGCCAGTACTCTGCTGGCACCAACGCGTGCCTCCTCACGCTGAATGCGCTGAGAGGCGGTGTCGACGTGCTTTTGGAACGCAGGACTCGGTATGTGGTTTCATGAACGTCTGGCTGGCCATCAGATGTGCCGCCTGTGAACAACAGTTGTTCCCAGGCTCCGTGCCAGCTCGTCCTGGACTCCGTGACAGCGCGGAGCCCTCTGACATGCCCGAGTGATCTGGATGATTTCTCCCTCGGCGACGCTTCCGTGGCGGCCATTGGGAAGACGGCAGCGGTCGTGATACGCGATACCATCTGCTTTCCTTGTGAAACCCGCAGTGCGTCGGACCGGCTCGTTCCACCCGGTCTGTGTCGTGACCACCGGGAGCGCCACAGCCGGGCTCCTCCCAGCTGGCCGTTCGTGACCGGACGGTGTGTCGCGGTCCGTTGCGAGCAGCGAGAGCGCTGGGAATACTCACCCCCATCGCACGAGATCGGCGTCGGTGGTGGTGGTGGTGGTTGAGAACGACAGCGCGGTTTGAAAGTGACAGGGTTCGGGTGTTGCAAGCCGGGGAAAAATTCTCGGGATGTTATCTGCAGGAGATGCAGAGAAAACTGGTGTTAAGGAACTTGAATTGCGTAAGAATTAAGTGTCGTTTAGCTATGTCACAACAGAAAGCTGTCGGTTTCTTTGCAGTCAGCTCTGTCTTGCTACGCCTAAGTTTTCATGGCTAAATCGGCATGACTCGGCAAGCGATTAGCCCCGAGGCGCGCACCTAATTGTAGATGACTCCGCCTGCCTATTTAGCACAGCAGCACAGGCATTCCGCAGCGCGTCTGATATGCGCCTGATGAAACCTCAAAACATCCCATCATATTTCCGCTAGTCCACCAGGTCTACGAGGTGGTCTTCTAAGTAGAACTGAACGGCTATGCCGCTGAGACGTGCAATTCACCAGCCATGTCCCGACAGACGTGCTGGTAGGACACCTAGGACCGCGCTGAGGACATCATGCGCTGCATTTGATAACCCACACATGACGGGGCAGACGCTCGAATGCCTGATTGAGCCTATCACGCTGTCACAACGAGTGACTGAGCAGTGCCCTGGGGAAACGGCGAGGCGTGGCCGGTAGCAAGCCGATCCATAACAGCAGCCGGGTAACACAGGCTGATCAGTGGGGAGAGCCGTCCAGCCCTGCCGTCCCCATTGGCAGTGGGCCGCGACCGGTCAGCTGCCGCAGCGGCCGCCAGTCATGGCTCACATCCGAGCGCTACGGACTCATCTAATTGGTCTTCCATGCTGAGGCTGGGGATTTCAGCCAGCTGGAGCTTGTGTCTGATGTCTTTTTTGGAAAGAGGATGGAGCCTGACGTGACATGCGTGTGATATCATATGCTCGCGCCTCGGAGCGTCTGTCCCCCACGGCTGCGTCCGGTGCCTCGGCCCACGCGGACCGCGCGTGTCTAAATGTAATGTGGCTTGCGTCTAACGTCTTGGCCAATACAGCATGTGCACGATGAGTCCGGTGTCTGACGCAGCCCGTGTGGGCAATGTAGCATGCGTGGATGGCTGCATTGTGCTTTACTACATAGCTATAGGTGCCTAATACCAGGCATAGTGGTAGCCGCGGCATGTGACTTAAGTTATGTCATTATGTGACGCACATTCAGACGCCCGTTGGAAATAAACCCCTCAGTGTGTAACACTGTGCGGAAGCCGGTCTCATCCAGTCCGTGCCCCCCCCCCCCCCCCGCAGGAGCCGCGGCCGCCGCTCTACAACGCCGAGATGTACGCGCTGGGTCTGCGCCGCTGGGGCCGCAAGGGGGGGACGCGTCAGTACATCGAGGGACGCGAGGGGCCCGAGCGGCACGGACAGCGCGACAGGAAGAGGCGCGACAGCAAGGCGGAGCGGGCGGCCCGGCAGGAGATGGGCATGCGTCAGTTCGCCAACGTCTCCGACCTGCTGAAGAAGCTGCGCCAGGACCTTCGCATGTCGTACCCCAGGTGGGATGACAGGTGGGAGATGTGGCGGTGAGCCGGAATTGCGTGATGTCGGTTTTGTTCCGGTTTTGCATTGCGATCCAGAATAGGGGTGACGCAACTTTAAAAAACAGCGGGAGTGGCGTGGCGCAATGGTTGTTACTCTGGATTCATTTTGTTGGTTGTCAGTTATGGATGTTGTTTTTCATACAGCCCCTGTCTTGAGAGGGAATTGATACGCAGGGTAGTGTCAATACGTCAGAAGTGAATGGCCGCTGGTAAATTCGTGAGCTTTTCAAACTTGAGATATTCACAAAACGGTGGGATTCTTTTTATACCTAGTCGAACAAGATCAACCAACGACACGGCATATGTGTTTAAACCATTTGGTATCGCCAGCTACAACAATGTAGCTGAATGTATACCGCTGACAATGCAGACAGTTTTTACTGCCGATCCCACTTCTTGTTTTGGAAGCATCGTTACAAAACATGTCCACTGCCGCTTTCGCCGTTTTCGGTGCAGTGAAACCCACCTGCATCGCAGGTTTTAAATGCACGTTATGTGCGTATAAAAGTTCGTGACGTATTCGTCCGCCTGCCGCAGCTTCGTCCGGGAGTTTGTGACCGATCCTTACGACGGGGTGACTGGCCTGCTGGACCTGCTGAAGATGATACAGCTGTCGCAGACCGACTACGCAGGTACGTTACGGTCACGGCGCCCGACCGAGCTCTGCCCAGTCGGGGACAGCCCGGCCAAAGCTCGGTCGGGCGCCAATTGGACCGAGCTCTGGCCAGTCGGGACGCCCGACCGAGCTCTGGCTGGTCGGGACGCCCGACCGAGCTCTGGCCGGTCGGGGCGGCCGCTCGAGACTGATTCGTGCGGCACGTTAGTGCAATTTTCTCGGTTGCAGCTCGACAGTGTGCTACATCATCTCTACCCTCCTCGTCGATGATCATTTGTCAGTAACATATGATCCACGCCTATGAAATACTGACGGCATTCACCTGATTAAAGCCAACGCAAGCAGCTTTCAGAAGACTGAGCACGTACTAAATGAGCGGGAACTGGCCAGCCGACGAAGTCCGAAAGTAACCCTACAAATAACGCCGCCGTTAAGCGTCATTCACGAAGGGCAATTAGCATTACCATTAGCATAACGTGGTTGCAACACGCTCGCTAAGCTATTCAGTCGACAAGTTGTGCAGTGACCCCACAGGTCGCCGAGCAGAAGCAGTTGGGATGCTGTGAGGTCAGCACGGATACGGATACCCCGGATGCAGACCCTCCCCTCCCATCACGGATACCCCCTGGGTGCAGCCCCTCCTCTCCCATCATGGAGTACCCGGATACAGCCCCTTCCTCCTACCACGGATACCCCGGGTGCAGCCCCTCCCCCTCCCATCACGGATACCCCCGGATGCAGCCCCTCCCTCCCATCACGGATACCCCGGATGCAGCCCCTCCCCTCCCACCACGGATACCACCCGGGTGGCCAAGCCCCGCCCTCCCCATCACGGATACCCCCGGGTGCAGCCCCTCCCCTCCCACCAACACGGATAACCCCGGGTGCAGGCTGTCAGCACCCATCGCCAGTGGGAATAAGCCTAGCCTGCTATGCGGTACGGTGTCCTGCGCTCTGAACCCAAAGCAGTTTCAATTGACAATGAAGTCAGATATGTCCGATATCCGCAGGCCAGACTGATGGTGTGTCGCGGCGGAGAGTGGTAGGCTGAAATTCTCGCCATGTTTGTGGACATTGGTTACGGTTTTGTATTGCCAATCAGAGCCACGGTGTTGAAATGGTAAAAAAATATTGATGTGGGCACACGGGCTACCTGCGTAGGGATGTTTTCACTAGGCGTTTCTACTTACCAAGACCTCTGCGTTTGAGGGCGCATATTGGAATCCGCAGGACCTGATGTCCGGGATTGAACCCCGAACTGCGGCGGAGGTGGTTGGCCTATGAAAAATGGAGCTAGGTGCCCAGTGTATCATACGCTATTGAGCTCACCACACACAACAGTGGTAGGTGCGGCTCGGTGTCTGGTGTAGTCAGACTCGGTGAGGACAGCGTGATAAAGTAAAGCTAATAGTTTGTTAGCCGCAGTAGCTACAATTCGTCACGGGTAGTGTTTTTTGAGCCACCCTTTGTGCCGGGTGGCTCCGGTACGTGGCTAGCCATGATGGCCTCCTTCGTTGCCCGGCGGCGTGACGGTCATTCGTTTGTTTTTGTTTTGTTTTGTTTCTATCCGCGGGCCGGCATTCGTAGACTGGTCCATCCCTGAAGAACCAAATTTGGATGTAAAGCTTCCAAACCACTTGAAAGGTTTGCAGTGACATCCAGCTGCTGCCCACTTCTCCGTCCATCCATTTTGCAGTGAGAGGACTGAGCAGTATAGCATCAGTGGCCAGCTGACCATGCTGTGGAAGAGGTCACATTCGGGAGTAAATTTGATGAACTGGCCTCGGCTCAGCGCCTCCTCTCACCGCCGCGGCGAATCTGCACCCGACGGACCAAATGTCGTGGCCGAGATGCTGTAATGAACAACAACCGCTTCCACGCCACATCCCGCGGCCCAGCTGGTGCCCCCGAACCGCACCGCAGCTGGCCGGCCCGTCACGGCGCCAGCTGTCGGCGGCCGCGGACACTGCGCACGTCTGCGGGCGCCGCCAGGTGGCCGGCCGGCAGCGGAAGCGTGCGTGACTGTACCGTCCGTTAGCTGGTTCGGCGGCCACTGCGCCGCCCGCGCCGAGCAGGTGCCGCCGGCCGTCAGCTGTTGGGCGACCTGGGACTACCACGGCGTCGGTGTGAAATGGCCGAGGCGTCGGCCAAGAGCTGCAGCGGGAGGGATGCGTTGGGAGCCGGCGCTTCTTCCGGAGCAGTAGAAAGCCGTGCCGCTCGTTCTGCTAGGCTGTTAGTTCTTGCAAGCTGTGAGCGCACCAGCGCTGGCTGATTGCGAAGCCCACAGTGACCATACCAAGGCGGTGCCGTCACACGACCTGACGTCTTGTTCAGCTGATCAACCTTCGGAGCATGACGCCGTCTCATAGCTGGGATTAGCCAAACCTTGGCCTAATGGGGCGGATCCGTTCACGCTATCCCAGCCACAGCCCAGTGCGCCAGTTTCTAAATGACAGCGGCCCATTTAAGCGCAGTGAGGCTGCCCGAAATCGGTCGGCGCAGGCTGCACGCCCGTCGGTCATCTCGCCCCGCCCGCCAGCTGTTTGTCGGCGATGCGCCGTTTTTGTCGCGTCGTCTGCTACGATTCGCGGGATGGGTGGAGGCGGTGTTAGGAGGCTTGTTGGTCGTCCTTTTGGGGTTGCGCAAGTCGAACTGCACACCTTTGTAGTACTCCAGGGTGTCGCTTGTAAGTGCAGTAACTGCTGATGCCTTCGGCGTGCCAAGGCGTTCGGTAACGCGTCTCACGCCTCGCTGAGCGTTATGAATTGTGATTGTGAGCGAGTACAGTTTTGTGATGAATAAAAATCGTGATTAGGATTTAATAGAATACTGGCAAATATCGACCTTCAAGGTGAGAAATCTCCTTATCCGATGTTATGAGGCAAGCAGTGACTATATGAAAGAAACGGGACATTTCAAGCTGTGCTCAAGGTCACGATACGAACGTTACGGTCATCTCCGATCAGAGTACAGTTTGAGATGTCGGGTTATGTCAAGAAAGGCAAACTACTTGCTTTGTAAGCCCGTTTAACCAGCACCCTCCGAGATATTTTGGGTCGATTATTGTCAGAACAAGAAACCCCAACTCGGTCTGCCGAAGGACTAGAAACTGTAGCGTATTTCTTGCTTATAACAAGCCTTATCGAGCCCTTGTGTGGATTTGCGCTTCATTCGTCTTCGTCAGTCTGCTGCCGGTGTCTGCCACTGCTGACGTGGCCACGCGGGGGCCGCCATGTCTTCTCTGAGGGCCCGTTCAACCGTGACAGGGGAAGACGGGTGCCCGTCCCTTACCGCGGCCAAATCCCGGGACCTTCTCGCGGATCTTTTGTGTCTGCGCGGAGGGGGAGAGAGAGAGAGAGAGAGAGAGAGAGAGAGAGAGAGAGAGAGAGAGAGAGAGAGAGAGGAGAGAGAGAGAGAGAGGAGAGAGAGAGAGAGAGAGAGAGAGAGAGATAGAGCGAAGAGAGAAGAGATAGGAGAGAGATAGAGAGAGAGAGGCGAGAGAGAGAGAGAGATGAGAGAGAGGACGAGGAGATAGCTAGATAGAGAGCAGAGAGACGAGGAAGAGAGTAGAGAGAGAGAGAGAGAGAAGAGTAGGATGACGAGAGAGGATGAGGAGAGAGATGAGACGGAGAGAGAGAGAGACGAGGAGAGAGAAACCAATCGTGTCTAGAGTAGGTGCAGTTGGTTTGCAGTCTGCTGGCGTCAAACATGTTCAGTGTTTTTGCGTGGGTATTTTTCGATAACTGGCGCTCCCCATCGATCACGATGATCTTTGTCGTTATGTTGCACACCAACAATAGAGGTGTGTGGGCATGTGTAAGGCCTAGATTCGTCAATGTCAGTGAACAACTTCCTGAAATGGAAGAACTAAATATTAACATGCCCTGTCAGTCGCGGAAGTGATGTTGTATGTCATATGTTTGTGGAGCCCTATTTACAAAAAGCGCCATATATGGTTTTACGCATGCCATAGAGTCTCTCACGTACTCCGGGAGCTCTGATCATAGAGTTTCTCCCACACTCGCGTAGCTGGCTTGAGCCGCGGCTCTGTATCGAGAGCCAGCCGGTGCGCACCCGAAGATCTCCGCACCCGTAGCTGGCCTCAGCCGAGGCTCTGTATCGAGAGCCGGCCGCCGACCTCCGCACCCGTAGCTGGCTTGAGCTGAGGCTCTGTATCGAGAGCCGGCCGCCGACCTCCGCACCCGTGGCTGGCTTGAGCTGAGGCTCTGTATCGAGAGCCGGCCGCCGACCTCCGCACCCGTAGCTGGCTTGAGCTGAAGCTCTGTATCGAGAGCCGGCCGCCGATCTCCGCACCCGTAGCTGGCTTGAGCTGAAGCTCTGTATCGAGAGCCGGCCGCCGATCTCCGCACCCTTAGCTGGCCTGAGCTGGGGCTCTGTATCGGGAGCCAGCCGGTGCGGATCCGCCGATCTCTGGACCCGTAGCTGGCTTGAGCTGGGGCTCTGTACCGAGAGCCAGCCGGTGCGGATCCGCCTATCTCTGGGCACGGAGCGCGCCGTTCCGTCTGGCTCGGAGGCTCGGGGCGGGCCGTGAATGTGCGCTAATGCCGCTCCCCGTCCGGAGGTCAGCAGGTCAGGCCATCATCCGGACAGATGGCCTCACGCTGGCACCATATGGAATATAGCCGGGGCGGGCAGACAGCCCGGCGCGTAAAACTGATGTCGTACCGAGCTACGGCGTTCGGAGATGTGTAGATTCGCTTCAGTGTTTAGAGCAATTGTCGTTGAGAATCGAACCGAGCTTTTCTCAACGTCCATATGCTTCGTTTCAGGAAGATACCCTGGTCTGATCAATTATATCGATAAGCAATCCCTTTGAAGTTACACAAAAGTTGTAAGCCGGATGATATCCCTGCAGCTTTCCTACGCTATTCCAAAACTAGAACAGTGTGGGAAAAATTCTTGTGTAGCCACACAAAAGAGCTTTGATGATTTGGCTGCAACTTCTCCTGGAAACCGTGACGACTGGGCCGTTAAATGCTGTAATGAGGATGCCTGTGTCATGACATGACGCTGCGTGGTCGGATAGTCTCTGCAAAATAAGCTGTGCACACGCGGCATTCATTGCGGTTATGACGCGTTCCAGGAGACACCGCTTTTAAATCACGCCATACCGTAACACGGTAACGGGGGAGTGCGGGGATTCCGTTGAAGATTTCTGACTCGGTAGTTTTGCCGCCTGCTTGTCCGGATAGCTGCGCCTCCCGTTAAGCGATGCTCCGCCACCATGGAAAATGCACCACGCCTGCGTTGTGCAGTCTAGTTTTACGTTCATTAACGGCGTTACGTTCATTAACGGCGTATGTGCCCCGAGAGCTGACCTCTGCGCAGTCACTGCGAAATCAAACTGGTTAATTTTCTACACGATGAGCCTGAGGGTCATAAGGTAGCTCTCACCTTCTATTGCACAAGCTTTTTGGAAACAGAGGTCAGGTAGACCTAAAAAGGCGCAACACTACACGTCAGCCAGCTGCTCCTCCTCCCTGCCGACCGCGACAGCGCCTAAAACCTCGTGACTCTCAAATACCTGACTCTGGTCGGCAGCCTCGATGAACGGCACTCTCCGCTCCAAGGAGCACCACAACTTCTTCCGGCGCGCACTGACGGACGAGTACGACTGCCTGCTCTGCCTGAAGCACTGTTTGCGCTGCGAGGAGACGGCCGCCAAGCTGGTCGGCTACTCACATGGCCTCTACACGGTGGCCGTCTGCATCATGAGCAACTTCAGCAAGTCGCGCACGCTGGCGCTGGAGGTTAGTGCTGCTGACATCTGGCGTGTGTGAGGAGTTGACATCTGGCACATGTGTGAGGAGTTGCGTCCCGCGTGAGAGTGGTCGTCGGGCGGGGGGGGGGGGGCGGCGGCGGCCGGGACCGGTGGCGCGGTCACGGTTTTGAGGAGGGCTTGGACCCGTTCTTATGGCATCACATGGAATACACCAACCATTGTTGAAATGCGAGGGCGAGGGCACAGACCGGCGGGCGATCTCCAGCTTGACACGCCCTCGGCCTGCCAGAGCCATCTGCCGGAGACTCGGTGCATGAGTCACCTCGCAGCAGCGATTGTCATCCGAACCTCGCCGTGTCCTCTTCCCCACCATCCCAGTCGCCTGCTGCGCCCCCTGTGCAATTAGTAACCCGCCGGCGCCACCTACCTGTGTAACCGCGCTCACTAGCGTCATCTCTGGGTATATCCGCGCGCCCACCAACGCCATCTTTGGGTGACCGCGTCACTCGCGCCGCCAGCTGCTGACCGTGGCATGCGAGACGCGGCCGCGCGGCCACCAGCAGGTGATGGAAGCCGCCTCCACACTGCGACTCCGCTTCGGCGAGCCAGTGCGCTTCAAGTTCCTGGTCGGCATGCTGACCTCGTTCGGCGCGCCCAGGTGAGGCCGGCGAGAGAGGGGGGGGGGGAGGGGGATCGGAGCGTCGGCCGTGGATGGCGTGGCTCGCAGACCCGGTGTATGGGGCCAGGCAGCGTGCTTGGATGTCGTACTGGCCGACGCATGGCCGATACTTGCCAGTGGCTGATGGGGGGGGGAGGGGGGGGGGGGCGCTGCATGTCGTAGCTAGCTGTGGTGTGCTCTGACGAGCTGTAACGTGGATCTGTCGTACTGAAATTTAAAAAAATGCCGCGTAGATATTGCAGTGAAAGTAGGTAGGGCAGTCCTTTACGCAGTTGGCGATTGAAAGGCCAAAGGGATGGGAAACTCATCATTTGAACTGGACGAATCAATCTGGAGGGAGGTTCAAGATGCATGCAGCAAGCTTTGCGTAGCAGGTACTCTGAGCCTACTGAAACGAACCTATTAAAGCCATCGGGCAAACAATTCGTAATAGTCTCTTGCAAGGAAAAAGCAACTGCTACGAGAAGCAATTTTTTGCTCATATACCCATTTTCCTAAAAAAGAGCTGTTGTAATCGCACGACACATTACTGGCTGCCGAGTGTACGCACTGTGTTAGTGCATGACCTGTGTGTACGGATAATTTGAGGAAAAAAATTGAAATGGGCTAACGAAAGTACATGGAGGTCAAATGGTGTCAAAATTTTGGTACGCACCAACAATTTGTCGCCATAGTTTCGGATATTTCCCGACACCTGTCGCCTGCGCTCGTAGCCGAGCATCCGATTCATCTGATCTCTGCGCATTGACATCCAGCAGTGAAAGACGATGATAAGCTTTCTGTTCAAAAACCCTCCCTGCGTACGTGAATGCGAGACCGACGTCAAATTCTTGAGCCCAAATCGGCTGAGCAGCCGACGCAGATGCTGCCCACGCCGATCGCGCGTATAACTCGAGCACGGTGCTAATCTATTGGATTGTGCACAGTTTCCAGCTGGCGTGCCTTCGCTTCCTGAACCGTCTGACCGAGCTGGCAGCCAGCAAGAAGGAGCGGGTCCACCTGCAGGCCGAGATCGAGGAGGCCGGCTTCGATGTCAGCATCATCAGGAAGGTGCGAACGTCGTGCTCGCTGCCCACGGGTCGGGAGCGGTGGGAGCAGTCAGCATTTGGAGAGGTTGATGTTTCAAAGCTGCCGGAACGAACGCGCTGCAGTTAATTTTGTTCTTGATAGCGGGAGGTGATTGTTGCCACTGCACTCGTGCCACAGTACATTCTCCAGCCGTCCTTAAGACGACTGCCTCATTATGAAGGGGTGGGCTCACAGGGTCGGTGACGTGATGGTGTGTTGGATGATGTTGTTTAGCGGGGCAACGTGCCAGCTGGTTGGGCTGGCAGGCCATGCCGATGGCGTCCTTAGAATCCGCGTTTTGATCGTCCACTCCTGATAAAAGCTCGTACCTAAGGGGCTTATCCGCTCTTGGCGAGCAGCAGTTTGACGGCGCTCGCCTGCAGTCACCCAAAATGCGTGCTTGTTCTCAGTTCCTGTCATCCACCAACGAGAGTGCGGCGCTTCGGGATGAGCTTGACAGATGGCAGCAGCAGTACCTGGACGTGGAGGAGCTGTACGCGCAGCTGCTGGCGGAGCGGGCACACTCTGCCCGGCTCCGTGTCGAGAAGGACGCTCTCCACCAGGAGGTCAAGGTCAGACCCGCAGAGAAGCGGAACAGCCGGTCATCGGACACGCGCTTAATCGCGTGAAGGGTCTCGTGATCCGAGGTGGGGGACTTTGTCAGGGACTCCCTGAGGATTTCGGATCCACTCACGGGATCCAGCCGTGTGCCTGTAGGGCAGATGTATGGTTATCTGCGCTTAACAGCTGCACAACAGCTCGTCTCACAGGTGAACTCAGTGGCCAAATCACTACCATGCACACCACATAACATATATCAGGTTGCCACTTCGTATTATGCATGCAGTAGCGGGAACATGTCGTGTTGGTGGACTTTGCAGAAGCACATCAGCTGCATCCAAACTCTCCGCCACAAGGAGAGCATCCAGAACTCCCGGCTCGAGCAGCTGGAGGCGCAGGTTGGCGCCCCACCAGGCCGCGTCAGCCGTACCAGCCGCACTAGCCGCGCCAGCCGCGAGAGCCTGCCGATTGTCGTGGCAGAGCCGCCTGTCGGCGGCCGTGCGTATTCGAGCTTCTCGCCGCCGCCGGCGGGCGGCGCTAGAGAAGAAAGCGGATGGTCAGTTCCACGGCCCTCTGCGATGTCGACACTGTCGTCACTGTTCACGTTCTCTGGCGAGTCAAGCGATGCAGCGAGCCGACCGTGGCGAAGGAGGTGAAGCTGGAGGAGAAGAAGGAAAGCAGCCGAGGACGGCAGCAGGGGCGGACGGGTGAGCGACCGTGCAACGAGCAGGGCGTGGCCTCACTGCTTGTATGGAATTTTGCCTGCTAACACGTTAAACACGTGGTTACTAAATAATTGCATGAGGAATTAGAAGTCCGAGTCCCCGTCTTCTCATCTGTAGTCGTCCATTTTATAACTCGTCTCGAAGGCCAAAAAAACACCAAGTGTCCCGCCGCCAGGCTAATTGTTCAGGGTGAGCATTTTTGGGCTCGGCGCATTGAGTGTGCTCATGCAAAAGTTAAGTTTGGGCATGGTCTGTATTATGAAGGCAAAGTTTCCCCAATTTTTGCCTTGACCTTACAAGAATGCAGCTCCTCTCGACCTGCATCGAAAGAAAATGACGCTTAAGCCTTTTTACATTGGGATGGTAAAACTTACAACCGCACTAGTCGTCATTTAAGAAAAAATCCCACCGTCCAGGAATTATATGTGCTTACAGTTAGATCTTCCGATGGCAGCGTAGCCTCTGGTGAGCTGCTCAGACACGCAGGCGCGTGACGCTGGGCCGCCCGTCACGCCTGACGCTCACCTCCGCTCTCCGCCAGACTCAGGGCCGCCTCTCGCCGTCCGACTTCGAGAAGGAGAAAGTCTGCGAGGAGACGATCGAAGTGAAGAACGACATGATCCTGTTCGAGCCAGGCGAGCCGCGCGCCGGCGGCTCCCCATATCCCACGGCGCTGGTGAGGCGACACGCGTGGAGATGGGAAGACGGCTGGCCTGCCCTGCTTATGCCGGTGGCTAAATAGTTTGTGGTCACCCGATGGTCCCTGGCCTTGGTGTTTTGTTTAGGCTGCAGAACCACTCGAAAAGCGGCGGGTGGGCGAAAATTCAGTCTGCGTTTCTCTTATCGGCCCGTGCAGTTCGTATTGCCTGCGTTGATTTTGCCTTGCAGTCATCTGCTGCAGATTTGTTGACCGGCATGCCGTTGACGATCTTTACAGGCAGTTTTCGGGGGATATGTTAGAGCTACATCGGCTGATGGGTAGTTGCGGAGCCACATTAAGAATAGAGAAGAGAGCAATGACATCGTGAAGTCATTCTGTGTTAACCACCAGCATGGCATCGACTGCTACCGATGCAGTTCGGGCTCCCATCACCGCTTCGTCCCGTCCTGACGATGCGGCTTCACGGCTAACCGCCGCTTCCTCCTCTGCCCGCAGTCGGACCACTGCCTGTACCAGAACATGCCGACGGCGGCGGCGCCGTGCGGTCGGCGTAGCTGCGCCTCCGACGACATCCGCGAGGCCATGGACCAGCTGACCAGCGTCATCGACAACGCCGAGTCCTCGCTCAGCCTCATCTCGGGTCAGTGGCTCTCAAATCTGGTCGGCGGCCCGCGTGCGAGGTTAGGGGATCGTTGATTCTCAGATGGGGCAGCGGGGCCAGGTGATCCCGAGCACGTTGTCTGTAGTGTTAGGTTTTATGTTGCTTGTTCATTGTTTCTGCACAAGGTTGAAGCTGGGTCTATGGTCAGTATGGCTCAGATGCTACGAATACCTTAGACGGCACCTCAACGACTGACCTATGAATAAAACGGATGTCTAAGCATCCTTATTGAGCAAGCTTACTAGCAACTGAGCGATGCCCGCGCCACCAAAGCCTGTTTCACACTAGAGGCCAATAGCGGCGGTGCCACCAGTCAGTGGTTTTGCCAGGCGCCGCTAGATGTCACTGCTCCTCCGCAGGCCGCAGCTGCTCGTCTGACGCGTTGGACAGCCTGAGCCCGCCGCCGCGCAAGTCGCGCGGCTCGCGCGAGCGTCACATCGTGCCCAGCCGGCAGCCGAGGCCGCCGGCGCGCGGCTCGACGCGGCGCGCCGCCAGCCCGGAGCGGCTGGTGGCGCGCGGCCGGCCGGACAGCCTGACCGAGACCAGCGACGCCACCAGCCAGGGCAGCCACCGCCGGCCGGCTGACCTGCGGCCTTCCAGGTGCGGCCGCGCGCCGGCTGAGCGGCGGCCGGAGCGGATGAAGTGGGATTGTGGTGTCATGATGGAGGTTGTGATAGTATATTTGTGCTGACAACAGCTGAGTGCATTCCCTGATGGTTGTCTCTTTAGGCTGATTGGTGGCAGGCACGCGTTCAGCTATGTTGATGACGGGATGTTTAACAGTAGAAGAGTATGGTTGCATGTCATTGATGTCCATGGCAGTGATGAGTACGTGTACGTGTTTGCAATGCATTGTCGCATTGCTGAAATTATAGGTCTTTGTTCATAAGCAGAGGCAGCATCACGCGCACCGCTGTGGGTATTTGGACGTCCCCCTCAGCCTCTCCCTGAGTACTGGCGCCTCACCCCTCTGAATCCGTGCCCTCCCGCAGCGCCGTGGAGACGGAGAGCACCCGCAGCTTCCACTACGCGCGCGGCGCCGCGCTGCGCCGACGTCAGACGTTCGTGGACGACCTGGGCCCGGAGCCGCGCCGGCCGGCCGTGCAGCGCTCGGGCAGCTTCCACCAGGGCTCAGCGCTGGACGCCGCCCGCCACTGGCGCGGCAGCGTCGACCAGCTGTCGCTGCGGGAGCCGCGCGACGGGGCCGCGCGCCGCCGCGCCGCCGCGCGCGGCCGCAGCAGCCGCGGCGCACGCGCTCGCGCGACGCGCTCGCAGCCGAGCGGCGGCCGAGCTCGCGCGAGCGCGAGCGCGAGCGCGCTGAACGCTTCCAGCGGACGGCTGAGCAGCGCATGCAGCGCTGGCTGGCCGAGAGGCGACCGGCGGCGGCCGAGCAGCCGCCGACGCGGCCGCAGCGGCGACGCAGGACGGAGCGCGACTCCGGCTCCGGCTCCGGCTCCGGCTCAGGCTCCGGCTCGGGCTCAGGCTCACGCCCCGGCTCCGGTTCGGTCTCTGGTGAGGGCGACGGCGCGGGTGAGGGGCGGAGGCGTTCGGCTACCCGCTGCCCCAGTCACGCGGGTTCGTGGTGCGCGGGCACAAGAACGCGGGCCGCTACTCGGCACCGCTGCGAGACGTCCGAACCCCCTCGCCAGACTACAGCAGCAGCAACACCCTCGCCACCGTGGCCAGGATGAACATCTCCAATCGGATCATGGACCTGCCGTCGGCGCTGTACTGAGCACGCGCGCTCCACCTTCGTCGCCGTGGGAACGTCGCGTTGTCAAGTCTGCGATGGATGCGTGCCGAGCTGGAGGAGTCGCGAACGGCTCAAGGGCGATGGCTGCACTGCCGCCTGGTCGTCGGCTCGTGGTGACCTGGTGGAACGCCGAGCCCGCTTCTTGCGACGAAGAGGCAGCGATGGGTGTGGAATGGGTGGGTGGTGGCGGACGGCGGCGTGCGTCAGGCCCCAGCGCGGTAGCCTGTAAGCGATGATGTTCAGCTGTTGCTTGGAAGCTGCTAGCGCTGAGTGAACGGTGAGATTTGTGTGGCTTGCTCAGATGCCGGGCGCGGTTGTAACTGTAAGCGTTGGATTGTTACGTGGTGAGACTCCGTCTGAGGAGCTGTGCTGGAGTTACAGCGCGTGCTTAGTGGGGAGACTCCGTCCAAGGAGCTGTGCTGGAGTTACAGTTCGTGCGTAGTGGTGAGATTCCGTCCAAGGAGCTGTGCTGGAGTTACAGCGCGTGCTTACCCGCAAAGCAAGCTGAGCTTGTTTGAAGACATGATATATGGAGGTGTGTTCTTTTTATGGTTGTTGTAGTCTTTTGTCGCTTCATTCACGGCGAGGAATTGCGGTCTTGCGACTACCCGACCAAGTACCATGAAACCCGGCGCACATAATGTGTCTGTACTGGTCTTTTGTGCAGCCATGAAAAGTACTTTTCTGTTCACCTGAAGCCATTGAATTCGGTTAAAGACAAGGCCAATTTCATACAACCTTAATGAATGGAACCGAATGTGTTTCAAAGCGAACGTTGTAGAAGTAACAAGGATGTGGCTTGGGAGGCTTTCTTTTGGTCCATTGCTTTGGCAAGTGACCAAACAAGAAGCCACCCAATCTAAAGAGTTTTCCTGTGCCCTAAAGCTTAACATGCCGTGTGGATTGTGTGGGTGTGCGTTTGCAGTGCATTTAAACAATATGCAGGCTCATTACATTGACGATTGGCATGTCAGTTCTGGGTGACAGGTTAAGGGTATTTATGCGAGATGAGCGAAAGGCAGTTGATTCTGAAACCCTTAAAAATGACGTGTAAGCTGGTCAGCATGTATGCATATGTTCTTGTATCTAATACACGCCATTATGCTCAACTGTTTCATGAACTCGATAGATGTTATCAATCAATGCGCATAATGCATATGATTGCAATACAGAACTCCCCAATCACCATGGACGATTTCGAGACCACCACTTACACCAAATGCTGCAACCGCGCTGCTACTACGGCAGCCCTGTCCCTTGGCCTCGCGTCAGGGAGTATTGAGCGGGTTGCACCGGTTCGGAGCGCCACTGGCGATTATTGTTGGAGTGGAAGCCGTAGAGGGCCTCTCGATCTGGACCTAGGCTCTCGGCCTAGACTTAGGCTCTCTACCTAAACCTAGGCTCTCGACCTACACCTAGGCTCTCGACCTACACCTAGGCTCTCTACCTAGACCTAGGCTCTCGACCTAGACCGTGCTGGAGGATTGGCGCGCAGGCCGACACAGCGGGCCTCTGACGACCCCCACGGCTAGCACCTAAGGGGATCCTCCACGGCATCAGCTGACGCAGACTTGTGGCCTTTGCCCAGCCTCTCCAAGAGTGGGAAAGCCAGGGGGTCCTTTCTGCAGTAGATTCTTCATATGCATCTTCTCGTGGATCTGTCTCGCTTTATCCTCGTTCTGTGAACTCAGTAAGTGAAGATGTGCCCGTGCGTAGCCTCTGCGCACGTATTTACAAATA